TATATATAATACGTTTGCCAATTGATGCACTTATGGTGCCGCATGTGCTATATAGCACACAGCCACCTCACCAGACAGCATGTTCTCTCCACAGACTGTTGCCGCATCCCAACCCGATGACGAAGCCAACACAGACTCCGAGGCAATCCTCGCGGCCGCCGTCGTTGCCATGGCAACCAGCGGAGCACTTATGAAAGACGCTCAGTGGGCCCTACACAACGCCGAAGCGGAGAACAAACAAGAGCGCCTGCAGGTATGAGTGTACCAACACTTGATCGTTTGAGAGAGAGAAGCACAGAACGGGTTGTTTGTGACCTAGGCGTGCCGGGGAGAGTGTTATATGCTGAGACATGCAGCTACAGTGTATGTTTGTAGATGAACTGTGTGTATGTTATACGTGTATGTATGTATGTGTGTGTGTGTGTGTGTGTATTCATGAACTTCACTTACTTTTCGCTTGGTATAGGATGCGGCACGCACTGTGCAGATGGCACTGAAGGAGATCATGAACCAACTACCAGGACAGAAGGGACTCAACGAGGCTCTCCGGTCTGTGCGGGAGGTAAGATGGACAAGCAAGATGTAGATCAGCATAGATATACATATATATATATGTATATATATATATATATATATATATGTATATATGTATATATATGTAGATATAAATATATATATATATATGTATGTATGTAGATATATATATGTATATATATATATATATGTATTAGTATTTGTATTTGTATTTATATTTATATTTGTATTTGTTTATATATATATATATATAGTATAGACTATAAATACGGATATACTATTCTATTATGCTTTTCTCTACAACCATTGAGTACGCTGGGATCCTACCTCTAGCATCCCATCAACTCCATACCCGTGTGCACCACACCCACCTGGTGAATAGTATCCTCAACCCTATTTACATATAGCTCGTATCTATTTATAGCCGCTCCTTTCTATTTATAGCCACTCCTTTCCATCTATAGCCCCAATACCTACCTCCAACTACTGCCTCCTTTCCTATCAGGCCCATGCCCGTCTCAGCGACGGACGCCTCCTCCACTCCCACTCTGCGGAACAACTCGCCAGCAACGGCAGCAGAGACCATGACGCACTCCGCACTCAACTGGGCAAAGCATGTGCGGCACTCACAGCAGCCACAAGCACACTGTGCAACGCACGCAGCTCACCTAAGCAACTGGCGGACACCAGTGCTGTCTATGCCAAGGCGGTCGATGGGCTGGTACTTGCCGGAGAGGTGTGTATATATAAATATGTATATATATGTTTATATGTATATATGTATGTGTATGTATGTATATGTATGTGTATATGAATATGTCTATATGTACATATCAAAAGGTGTAAGTTCTGTCAACTGCCGGTTATTTATACGTGTATGCTAGTACATATACACGATTGGTTGCTTACACACACTCGTGTACTCACCGAGATGTAAAAAAAAACTCTAAACTCCGAAAATCGTTTTTGTTTCTTAAACGCATCACAGTCTCTTTCTTTGGCCAAGTCCAACCTCACGAAAGCTCTATAAATCAGTATTTGAAAACCGCAGTCCCCACCGCACACTCAACCCTAAATCCTACATCCCTACGCCCTACACCCTACAGGCCCTTTCCCTAGGCAACAGCGATCTCACAGACGCTCAACGCGCCGAGTTGGTCACTCTGATGGTCAGTGTGACAGCCTCGTGTGCTGACATGCTCATGGCCGCCAAACAGGTGTCAGGCGCACCACAGGACACCAACGGACGAGGGTCACTCCTGACAGCGTCACGAGAGGTCCAGGATGCACTCAGTAACTTGCTGTCGTGCACGTCGTCTACTAGTCCGGGTAAGGTGGAGGGTTGTGGGTGTATGCAGGCGTGTGTGGTTCTGGACGCATGGGCTTAATATGCATGGATGTGTGTATATGCAAGTGTGATTTTAGGTGTATATGTTTGTGTATGGCCAGGTAAAATCTGGGGCGCATGAGCGTGTGTGAGGATACGTGTGGATATATATATATGGGTATGGAAATGGATAAGGATATGGATATATGAATATTAATATATTTATATATATATATCATTTGGTACAAGCAAATGTAGCGTGTCTATCGGTGCATCTGTGTAGACGTGGTACGTGTATGATAGCCTGAGTTTGCATACGTAGACACCACAATGCTCTCGAGAGGTACTATCCACTTACGACTGCACAGTATCAACTACCTAAAGGTCGCTGATAGTAACACCCCTCCAAGTAGGTATAGTCTTTAGTCCTCCTTATAAGTAGAGGGCAGCCCTACCAACCCCGACCACGTAGCACCTACTAGAGGAACCTTAAACCCTAAATCCTAAACCCTACTGGAGTGCATGTAACCACACTCAACCGTACACAGTCGGACATCAAAGAAAGGTTGTTGTATGTGAATGTGCACAAACATAATCAGCGTACATGTGTAAGCACTAACCGAATACTGCGTTGCTATGCTCTACTGTACACACCACACAGGTGTTGCCGACGCGTCTGCCGCCTCTAACAAGGCCAGGGAACTTGTCCACACCCTTGCCCAGGATGGTACCAAGGTACGCTCACATACCTCTTATGAAGTAATATGTATGTGTATACATGTGTATGTAATGGTATTTATGTGTATGTATTTTTATGTATTTGTATGTACGTATATGTATGTGCATGTATGTGTATGTATGGTAGTTCACATACTATGTATGAAGTGATATGTATGTATCACTATTACAAGCAATTGCGCAGCTCTATTCATCTCCGTCTATTGAGGTATTGTGCCCAGTTTAACCTACGAGGCCATCGACAGTTTTGTATTGTACATATGTGCCGTTCATACATCGTCATATTCCTCCAAATACATATATGTATATATACATATATATCTATATATATATATATCTATATATATGTATATATATATATATATATGTATGTATGTATATGTATGTATATGTATGTATGTGTGTATATATGTATGTGTATATGTGTATGTGTATATATATAAATATATATATACGCATACACATACACATACACTTACACATACATATACACATTAGCCTGACACGGTTATGTACATACACAATATATATATATATATGTGTGTGTGTGTGTGTGTGTGTGTGTATGCATACACAAACACATACACATACACACCCACTCACGTCTATGCATATCCCTTTCCACTTCCTCCACCCCCAGGGTCTCGAGCCCACTCTCGTCAACATGACGTACTTCGACTGTCTTGCCATTGCAGGCGACAAAGCCCGTGCTATCGCGCGTGCAGCTGAGAACACTAACACGTGTGCACTGCAGGCTGATGCACTGACCATGGGCACTGAGGCTAAGGCCATAGCCATGGACACGGTGGATCTGATTGAGGCCGCTCATCATGCAGGTGTGTGGGTGTGGGTGTCTGTGTGTCTGTGTGTAGGTGTGGGTGGGTATGTGTGTGTGTGTGTGTGCGTGTGTCTCTGTGTCTCTGTGTCTCTGTGTGTGTGGGGGTGGGTGAGTGTGTGTGTGTGTGGGCGTGTGTTGCAGATGTAACTGTACCTGTGAATGGGTTGTTTAGGAATATAGCTTTGTTGGTTCTGAGATGCTGAGGAGTGCGTCGTCCCACATTATAACATCTGTTGAGTATGTCTGCCGGAGGTATAGAGATCAACATAGAGACATGGGGTTTAGGGTTTTAGGTATCGTATTCTTAGTCATATAGAAATAGAAATCGTGGTGGACCTTGAGAATTAGATATCATGTGTTGCACGCTTCACTTATTGAGCACTGCCGTTGATATAGATACAAGGGGTCTTTGCTCCGCTAAGTTCGGTAGTTTCATTGTACGTCTCTTTGTTCTTGTTGAGTTTAGGGTTTAAAGTTCCCAACTCCACGCCCTTTGGGTATTAATCCATAGACGTTAATGCGTCATCATACTAAGTGCATCATCACACATAGTCTGCTCTCATCACCCGTTTGCTGTGCCCACGTATCCCATCCCTGCTCTCCTACTGGCATGTTTGCTTATTCCGTCACATACTCGCTTATTCCGTCACCACATTCCCCCATCCCGCAGCCTACCTCGTGGCTGTGTCCGACAGTGCGAGTAAGCCGGCAGAGAGCGGGTGCATTGACGCCAGCCAGATCAGTGCGTCGCATCAGCAGATACGCGAGAGCTGTGCCAAGCTGCAGGTAAGGGACGTGTGTGTGTTGTAAGGATTGCACCTGGAAAGTGATAGGGTGAACATGAAACCCTAGAACCCTAAAACCCTAAAACCCAACCCCTGTAGCCATAAAACACACACGCACAGACAGTAAACCCCAAGACGCTAACGCTCTCTCGCTAGTATACTCACACGTACGTTCCCACCCACACAATCCCCAGAGTGAATACATGCACACACTTACTGCCTCTCGCTCTCTCTCTCATACACACACACACACACACACATTTTCACTCTTTCTCATACACACTCATACTCTCACAAACACATAAAAACCCTAAAACCCTAAACAAACATCTACCAGAGTATCGACAGCGACCAACAGGGCATTCTCGAGGCTGTGACGGTTATTGCAAAGCACACGAGCTCTCTGTGTGCTGCATGCAAAGTGGCCTCAGCCAAGACACACAACCCCATTGCCAAGCAGAACTTCATCTCACTAGCCAGGGGTATTGCCAGCACCACCGGGGCACTGGTAAAGGTATGGTTATATGTATTTAAAGGCGGATGGTTGGAGTGTGTATGGATCTATATATATATATATATATATATATATATATATAAGTGTGTAGTAGGTACTATATATATATATATATATATACATACATATATATATATATATGTATATGTATGTATACGTATACGTATATGTATGTGTATGTGTGCATGTATATGTGTGCGTACATGTGTAAACATATTCATACACTTCGAGATGTGTAGTCCCATTGCCCAGAATATCTTCATTCCAGTGGTCAAAGAATCTACGGGCACCTCCAGAGTGTTTGTTTAGGCCTATCGGATTTTGAACATTCGTATATTATTGTATGTGTGTATAAATAAGTTACTTTCGTATATGTATACCTACGTGTCCTTTATCATAAACGTATGCAAACTACTTTCTTATATAAATACTCGCAGGACTCTTTTTAACTTTTTTTGACTTTGGTTAAATTTTTTTAACTCTTTTTAATTTTCATGTACTTGCAACCTGCAGGACATCAAGGCGCTTGCGGCTGAGTCGTCTGATGAGAACCGAGCGAAGGTGGGCGAAGGTATCAAGCCATTGCTGCACTCAGTGGAGCAGTTGGAGACACTCTCTGGTAGGTAACCGATGGGAAGTACTGTGTGAGGCTATAGGGTACAGCTCTATTGTGCGAGAGATTATAGTACGTTTAGTATTCGGCTGGTGCACTGATGATTCAGATAGACTGTACTAATAGTGTTCGCAATATGGGCACTCGTATGTAGGCGTATACACCCTACGCTTACATCCACAGCATCGCCCCAGTCTGCGACAACTATTTGAAACATAACAAGCAAAACAAGCACTCCACTCCATGCATACCTTGAAACTACATCCACAGCCTCACCCGAGTTAACGACAACTATTTAGGACACTACAAGCAATACAAGCACTTCACTCACCATATACACTAAACGCCTATATAAACAGCCTCGCCCGAGTTTGCGACAATCCCTGCGATTATTGCACCCGAGGCTCGGGCTAAGCAAGAGCCAATCCTCAGCAGCAGCATGGAGTGTGCACAGTCTTCAGACTATCTGCTAGACAGCGTATGCATGATGGTAGAAGGCGATCTACGCAACGAGACGAACAGTATGTGTGTGTCTGTAGATATATGTATACATATTTGTATGTATAAATATATATATATAATATGTATATATATATATATACATATATAGGTATGAATATGTATATGTATATGTATGTTTTTATTGCATCATGTATGCATATGTGTATAGGTACCTACATGTATGTGTGTTATACATGTAGTTTGTTTAGCCTACAAGTCGTATGCGTGTATTTACTGTGTATCTGAGATATGAATACGTGCATGTTCCTTGTGTGTACATGAGTGTATGTACGCGTATATGGCTTCTCCACAGTAGTGTGTGTTCAAGCGTTTGGGTTTAACACAAAGGTTGACTGTCTTCTGAAGACGATGTGAACTGTGAGGGTAGTAACCACATCACCAGCAAATGCATATGTTTTATGCGCAGATGAACTTAGTTTTGCACGTGTACTCTGACGCTCATGCAGATAGCCAGTAGTCAAACTACGAGTACGGCACTATCCCTGCAGGCACTGCTAAGCAGGTATATATATATATATATATGGGTGTATGTGTGTATAGGTGTATGTGTATGTGTATGTGTATGTAAGTATGTATATACATGTGTGTGGGTGTGTGTGTGTGTGTGTGTGTGTATGCATGTGTGTATATGTGTATGTATGTATGTATGTATGTGTATATGATACTCTGTGGCACAATCTTGCACTCACGACAGGGCCTTTTACCTAACACTCACTCCCACCCACAGCTAAGACACTGTCTGCGCAAACAAAAGGACTCAATGACGCCCTTAAACACCTTCTGGCGGCCTTAAACGACAATGCACCTGGACGCAAACAGTGCGACGATGCCATTGAGACACTCAAACAGGTCAACAACGACATCGACCAGGCATTGCTAGCTTGTTCTCTCGGCAGTCTCAAGACCAGACAGGACAACGATCTACAAGGTAGGGTGACTGTAGGAGTGTGCAGTATGAAGAGTATGTGATTGGCTGGCGGCTGTGTAAGTATGCCTTTGCTTTGGTTTCCAAAGTAATATTTTGAATGTATATATATATATATATATATATATATATATATATATGTATATGTATATATAGGTATATATGTATGTATGTATGTATGTGTATGCATATATATACTTATATACTTATATACCTATACGTATATATATGTATGTGCCAGAGTAACATTAAGCCTTTTGTTTAGACAAATACGTTATCGAACGGTTTTAGGATTCAGAGAACCTCCAAAACCCTAAAACTCAAAAACTCAACGATCTGCTCACATCGCTCGCACACACTTACCTACCTTCCTAGTATATCTCACCTTACTTTCCCACAACACAGGTTTCAACGAAGGCATGCTCACAACATGTCAGGACATCACGTCCAGTATGGATGCTGTGCTTAGTGCGTGCAAGGGAGAGCCTCAGAAGTTGGGTGCCAATGTCTCCGAGTTTGCTGGTATGTTCGGGACTTGTGGCATGCAGCCCTTAGAACACCATTCGAATGCTCCATTGTACAGATAAACAAACGCATAACCGCATATCTCAGCATGCTCACGCGTGCACGCACACGCACACGCACAAGGCGAAACCCTAAACCTCGAAACCTCGAAAACCCCAAAAATTTAAAACCTCAAACCACTAAAACCCTATACCTCTAAAACCCAAACCCCTCACAGAGTTATTCCTACCGTTAGTATCCAATGCCGCGGGTGCTGCGAGTAAGCTGGCGAAGCGTAACAAACAGCAGAGCCTCTTGGAACAGAGCAAAGTAGTTGCGCAGAGTTCCCTCGCACTGACTATTGCCGCCCGGGCCGCCGGAGGTACGTTGTATGTGTATGGATCTGTGGGTGTGGACACGCGTGCAGTTGTAGGTAGCCACAGCTGGATGTATATTTAATATGTATACGAACTGTAAGTACAAATTTATATACATATATATATATATATATATATATATATTATGTAAAAAGTGTAAGTGCTGGTCTATGTAATTCTAGGTAGGCGTATGCGTATGTGTTTGCGTATATATTTGTATGTGCTCATGAGACCAACCCATCAGCCGGGCGTGCTAAAACAGAGTGCACGGACACTGAAGTTGTTTAAGTACTGGAGTGTGTCAAAGTTGTATTACTAAGTTTTAATGCGTTAGTATTAAGTTTTGATTCTATTTTATTATACTATGTTAAGATTTATCTATGTTTTAATATTTCATTTTAGTATGTTTTTAGTGACCATTTAAGTGATATGTTTATTAAGTTTCCTACCTACCCCACACCTACAGGTGATCGACGAGATACCAAAGCCCACGCCACAGTTGACAACGCAGCAGTGCAATTTCAATTAGACATCTCCGCATTCTGTCGTAAATTGGAGGCCGATACTGGTCAGTCTACGTGTCGCACTTAATATGAATATATATATATATATATATGTGTGTGTGTGTGTGTGTGTGTACATATATATATATATATGTATGTATGTATGTATGTATGTACCTCTCACGTGTAAGGATCTTGTTTGAATACTGCATTAGTGTTTACATTAGTACACAGATTACGGACGTCAATATAAAGTGTCATATCATAGCTTTTATATTCACATAAATACATATCGTATTGAAGGGAAAACACCCCATTTGTCTTCAAATATTAATGTCTTAAAACATGCCTATACCCTTCCATTCAGGCGCACCATTCCTGTACTATACTAGAAGTATTGTATAATATATTTTACAGTATTTGTAGTCTATATATAGTGTACGACAAGTAGTATAGTATAAGTAATGTATAACATAGTCTATATGTAACCTATATGTAGTCTATAAGCAATCTATGTGTAGTCTATATGTAGTAACATAGTCTATATGTAGTATACATCATTCATATACGACATATGTATATATATATAGTATACATCATTCACATACTACATATGTATATACCACATACGACCAACTAATGGGCTGTACTACACCCACAGGTGAAGCGGGTGCCATGAGTGCTATAGTGGCCAGCCTACAACGCTCTATTCAAGCACTCGGCTTGCCCGCAGAAGGCGCAGATGGCACTGACGACGACGATGAGAGCGCGTCTGCCATTGTAGTTAACTTGCAGCAGGTAGGTATCCATGAATCCGTATATGGAAATATCCTTATATGGACATGTGCACATGGGGTTGTGGTTGCGTGTGGTGTGCTTGCAGCAGGTAGGTATCCATGCATGAGTGTGTACCCTTATATGGACATGTGCACATGGGGTTGTGGTTGCGTGTGGTGTCCTTGCAGCAGGTAGGTATCAACACATGAGTGTGAATCCTTATATGGATATGCGCACATGGGGTTATGTTTTGGTGAGGGAGAAATTATTTCTATGACGAGTAAGTGAGTATGTGCATGTGTGATCACGCAATAGTAATAGTACGGTGTCGGTTCATACGCTCTATAGTGGTTACGTTTGCACACGACAGGGTTTAAGGTTTAAACAATGTTATGGTTATGAGTATCGCGGGTTTGTGTGTTGGTGAATGTATGAAGATGCTGTATTAGAACACTCAAGCCAGTGTGATATATAACTCCTTGCGTCCTCGATGTGAAACCCTAAACGTATATCCCAACCCATCAACTACTTTCACTCCTCAAACTGGGCTCAAACCCCCGACGTCGTGGCTTGTATAGGCCCTTCTATAAATAGAACACCAAGCAGATTACCAGCAGTCTTCCTATCATACTCTCTGCGTACTCAAAAATCTTATCACACTGAACTCCTAAGTCCTAACTCCATCCATGCTTCTATAAATAGAACACCAAGCAGATTGCCAGCAGTCTACCTACCATACTCTCTGCGTAATCAAAATCTTATCACACTGAACTCCTAAGTTTTAACTCCATCCATGCTTTTAAAAATAGAGCACCAAGCAGATTACCAGCAGTCTACCTACCATACTCTCTGCGTAATCAAAATCTTATCACACTGAACTCCCAAGTCCTAACTCCATCCATGCTTCTATAAATAGAACACCAAGCAGATTGCCAGCAGTCTACCTACCGTGCTCTCTGCTAACCCTGCGGAGCTCAAGGATCCCATGCGCACACTCGCGGCACAGTACAACGAACTCTCGACACTCACCAAACAACTGGCTGAGAAGACCGGCTCAGGCGAGAATGACGATGCTGGTAAGGCTAAATGTTTACATGTACATGTATACGTTTATATGTATAGAAATGTGTATGTGTTGGTGTAACAAGTGTATAAGTACATTCACATGTATCTGTTCTTATGTATAGCAACGTATATATATATATATATATGTTTGTTGCTATAACGCAAAGACGATGATACCGGTAAGTCTATATGTACATACACATGTATCTCTCCACCCTTATAAGAAACCCCTAAACCCTCTCGCCTACCATACCCCTCGCCCTGTTCATTTATAGATGTCCTGAAGTCCAGTGTGACGCAATTAGGACAGTCTCTGGTGGGTCTAGCTAACAGTGGAAAGAACTTACAGGCCAATCCGTCGGACTTTGAGGCGCGCCAGCAACTCGCGCGGTCAACTGCAGGCGTTAGCGATAGCGTAGGAAACGTTTTTGGAGGTAGGTAACTTGTGTGTGTGTGTGCGGGCTAGGTGTATATGTATACAGTATCTGTTTTCACCATTATACTTATATTTGTGTGTGTATGTGTGTGGTTATGTTTGTCTGTTTGTTCCGCGTGTGCGTGCACAGGTTGTTTGTATACTGTGCGCGTGTGTACTAATACTATTCTTCATCGTGTTTAATACACACTCTCGCTTTACTTCTTAGTCGTACATGTACACTGGTGCGGTCCTATATGCGCGTGCTATCCGTATGGGTCTAGGGCAATCTCAGCTAGAAATTATGGAATGACTCAAAGTGAGGGCAATTACCACTAGAATCCTATCTTATCTTACCCCTGCACTACCCTGAAACGCTACACTACACTTAATGTATGCGCATCGCCCCAGTGCCTCTGCCATATACATATGCACCACCACTTTCCTCGTTACCATCACTACCCCTGCCTTCTGGCCCAACCCTAAAACCCTAAAACCCTATCCCACCGCTCTTGTCCATCCCTCCAGCCCTGCAAGCCAGCTCACGAGGGTTCATTGCCTGTGAAACCTCTTCGCGTACCATTGACGGTGTAGTGGCTGAGTTGGGTACAACCGCTATGTTCGCACGCGCAGGCGCACTCAACGCAGACAACGCCGACGATTCATTTGCCGCACACAGTGAAGGTGTGTGGTATGAGTGCAGGGGGAGTGTGAGTGTATGTAGGTGTGTGTGTGTGGTAGGGTGTGTCGTATGAGTGTAGGTAGAATAAGTGTGATCCGAGGACTTGTTTGCGGGAGATAGTGAAGGTGTTATATCTTGCATAGTTGTCGGTTAATACAGGCTATCGTAGTTGTACGATATATGTTTATATATGTATAGTATATTTATATATTTATATATATATATGTGTGTGTGTGTGTGTGTTATATATATATATATATATATATATATATGTGTGTGTGTATGTATATGTATATGTATATGTATGTATGTATGTGTATGTATGGGTATATGGGTATATGTGTATATGATATATATATATATATATATTCTCTAGTCAACTACGCCAAACAACGTTGTATTGACGCTGGTTCTTCTCATGCACAGGTATTGCTGCTGCTAACGAACGCCTGTCCGAAGCTGCCAAGCACATGGCCGTCTCAGCAGGTATGTGTGCATAGAATGAATGCATTAGCAACACTGTGTGCCTTCTGTGGGCAATGGGTCGTGAAGGATACATTACCTTAAAAGGAAGGGTTTTAGGTTTTATATACTGTATATGAAGACAGTTGTTGTGTGTGTTCATAGAGAGTCATTGTGCAGCAATAGTCGTTGTGGCTTGCTGTGCGGGTGTCTGTGCATATGTTTCTGTGTATTGGTATGGTCTCTGTACGTTCTTTTATAGCGTTCTTACGAATTTGTACAGCGTTCCTACGGTTTCATATAGCATTCATACATCTGTATAGCCTTGGTACGTATCCATACAATCGTATTTACTTCTTACTGTCTGATAGCGGTATCGTATTACTTATTTCCACACGTGTTAAAGTAATCTTACTTCTGCATACACACATGTGTGTGTACCTATAAGAGTATACTATTGCTTATTTCCACACGTGTTAAAGTAATCTTACTTCTGCATACACACATGTGTGTGAACCTATAAGAGTATACTATTGCTTGTTTCCACACGTGTTAAAGTAATCTTTCTTCTACATACACACATGTGTGTGTACCTATAAAAGTATACTATTGCTTATTTCCACGGCTGTTAAACTAATCTTACATCTACATAGGCACAGGTTAGTTTACTTAAAAGGGTATGCCATTGCTTATTTCCACGCCTGTTAAACTAATCTTACTTCTGCATACACTCATGTTCGTCTACTTAGAAGGGTCGCAGGGGCAGCTGGGTGATGCTGCGAAGGAGTGTGTGGTATCGTATCAGGCCGTGGCACAAGAGTCGAAGCTGGCAGCCATGGCCATTGGATCACAGGTACACAACAGATGCATACGCATAGGAACCATGCAATAGTTGGTTTATGTTATATGTTGTGTATGAAACATGAAGCAATTGGTCTATGTTGTATGAGTATATGTATGTGGGTGTATGTGTATATGAAATATTCAGCAGTTGGTATATGTTATGTGTATATATATGTGGGTGTATGGATGTACCATATCCGAGATGTGTGCTTGTATTGAACATGTAATTACTGTTGTATGCATATGTATATATATATATACCAGGGCATATGGGATATGCATGGCAGCCCAAGGCCATGGTACAGTAGTTGTAACGAGGATACTGATCTAGTTGACGTTTAAAGGCTATTTCACTCTCTAGTTGTTGGTATATACTTATGAAACTCCTAAGTATAAATACTTCTGGAACTAATGTGGTTTGTGCTCATGATACTGTTGAAATTTACACTCAACTGCTGTTAAACTCTCTAGTTGTAGGTGTGCCCTGATGTGCTTTATGCGCAAATGCTGTTAAACTCTCTAGTCGTTGGTATGTTGTGTGATCACCCTGAGTACATCCAGTGATCCCTCCGCCTTCAACACACCACAGATACGTCCACGGTTATCATTCGTACGATCTACGATCGTGTATACTCTGGCACGATGATACCATATTCCAAGGCGCAGGCTGTCAAACCCCTAAAACCCTGAACCAGTAAAGCCCTACAACCCTAAACCCTAAACCCCTCAGGATCGAGGCGCTCAGGAGTTGCTGGTCAACGGCGCGGGTGATCTAGGCCGTGCCATGCAGAAGCTCATTAGCGCTACTGTGGCGGCGGTAGGTAAAACGTCCGACAACGATGCCACACAGACACTCACGGATGAGACCAAGGAACTGGAAGCGGCTATGAACGCGTACAAGGACACCATCAAGGTGTGTGGGATATACGTATTACGTATATGACTGTGTGGAATAGTATGTGTTACGCGTATGTGTTGTATGTTAATTGGTAGTCTTGGTTGGTATGGCTCACTGCTGGAAGTAGTTGACCTCGTTCACCTACCGAAATTGGTGCCTTGCGTTTTTTTTCAGTCTGCTGGTTTACTACACAAGGGTGTATATATATGAGTCATTTAGCCGTAGCGTCAACTGCGCTTATAGTCATTCATGTCTGTGGCCATGACAGTCCACATGCTCCATCCAGATCTCAAATCGGAAATCTGAAATACCAACCCTGTCATCTGTTTGTATGACACAACTACAGCAGAGATGCTAATCATATCATTCGTTTGTAATAAGTTACCACAACCGAAGTACTAGCATTCTCATCCGTGTATATCACCTCATTGCTACAGAGTGTTGATGATGAGGCTATGCGGGGTGTTCGCTCGACCGAAAGTGCCGCTGAGGCTATTCGCAACGAGCTGGCCATCTTAGATATGGGTATGACTCTGAATACATTTCTAGACTTTTCTAGGGCTTTACGGTTTAGGTTTTCGTGCCCAACCCCTAAAACAAATATTCAGGATAGTGGTATAGGCTTCGAGATTTAGGTCAACAAATTGGAAATGAACCAGTTCATGGTCCGGTTTATCTCTGGTTAGGTGCATATGCTAATGTTTTACCTAAGTTTATCTCTGGTTAGGTGCATATGCTAATGCTTTACAATAGTTTATCTCTGGTTGGGTCCATATGGTAATGCTCTACCTTAGTTTGTCTCTGGTTAGGTGCATATGCTAATACTTTACCTAAGTTTATCTCTGGTTAGGTGCGTATGCTGATGGTTCACCTGAGTTTATCTCTGTTTAGTGTAAATCCTAACGCTTTACCTTAGTTTATCTATGGTTGA